CTATTACCTTAACGATAATAATGTGTTTAGTTTTTTTTTTCAAACTTAAAATCAACATATAGATTATCCATTGAATAATAGTAAAAACAACAAAGGTAATTCTAAATTTTTCTTCTGTCAGTTTACTGTTATCATCTAACAGATAAAAAAACTATTATCTTAAAAACTGTTCTTATTTGCATACTTTGTAAGCAAAAATTTACACTTTAGTTTTTAATGTTGCTGCTACTGTTGCAGTCAATCAAAACGATCATCTTTAAAATACAGATTTCTTATTTAATAATTTAGAAAGAAGAAAAATAATTGTTCAAAGATTAATTTTATTGTTTATTTTGCTATTTCTTAAAAATAAAAAATTTAATCTTATCTAGAAAAATTAAAATTTTACTCATAAAAATACCCGCATCGGTATAATCAAACTAAATTTTTTGCTCTTACATACAAAAAAAAAGCAGTAATTTATCTGACTGATTTGCAGTGAAAATTAAAAGAAATTAAAACAAGACTAAAGAATGGTAAAGAAATTTTTAAATGCTTCAAATGTTCAAATACATTTCGACAAATATGTGAACTATTTGATTAGAAATTATGATATGCCAAACAGTTACAATAGGCGCGTTTCTTTTTAAATACTGTCAGAATTGTACAAAAAAATTATAAAGTAATTTGTTCCCGTCTGTTTCTTCAAATGTCTCAAAAAAACCGTTAGCTTTTCTCAACAGTTTAAACGACATTACGCAAATTATCCCAATGACTGCGCTGCAAAAGTTGAAATTCAGCGCCTTCATTGCAGAATTCCCCAAACAATTTCCTAAATTCTTTCGGCACAACAAAAGTATCAAATTTCATTTCGAGATTTTGCACATGTCAACACGTTGAATGTCACCGACAGAACACCAGCTTGCGTGAACTCGTTTTAAAAATATGATACTTTGTGAGGAGAAACTCACACTCTTTCCGCATCATTTAGAACACAACTTCACCAACAACCAGACCGTCATCTGCACCCCGTCCACTTACGTTAACGCATCAAAAACTTCACCAGATCCAAAAAATCACTAACTCCAATACATCTCAACTTTCCCTTCCACAGACAAAGCCCTAACTATCAACATTATTTTAATAGTGCAATTACGTTGGTCAGCTCTCCCTAAACTACCTTCTAAGTAGCCAAAAACTCACAACCATCCACCAATGACAAACAGTTTGCCCACCCCAACAAAGCTGACAAAAAAAGTGGAACACAACAATCACTAGCTGGAAAAGTATTTTATACAATGTATCCAAAGCAGACAAGCACAAGACAAACAACATAATTACCATATTATTATCAACGTACCATCAGACTACACTGATCAAACATTAGATCAAGACTTAATTATCGTTTTAAAAACGAGTCGTAATTTACAAACATCAGTATCTTCCAACTCGAGACTAACATAACTTGGGCAATTAAAGCTTCAGAAACAAAAGATGAACGAAAACTAAAAAATCAGACATGACTTCTCAAAAAGGCTACGTGTGGCATGAACACTTGAGTACCGAGCAAATAAAAGTTTAAGTCTCAGAAACAATGTATAATACGAAATAAAGCAATCAAGATAAATTGCATTATGTAAGTTCACCGCTTACAATACGAGGTTAATCTGAAATTTTCAAGCCGCCTTAATTAATGCAAAACGGTTCTACTTATATCTACAATTTTAAACATGTATAACCTGACATGCTGAGTGACCAAAATAACAAAAAATGAACAGCTCAACAATTGAATTAATAGTGTAAACATATTAAACAGAATTTCAGTGAATAAAATGAGCATGAATCATACAGTAAACACTTGAATAAAGAGGAATATTACAGATAAGCTGAGTAATACTTAAGTGCAATCTTATTTGAACAAACCAAAAAAGTACAATCAAAAGCAAAGTAAAAGCAAAAAAAATTTAAAGTAAGTTAATTAATGAGATCAATATCAATAGTCCATTGCTGAAGCCAAAGCATTACCAAGGCTATCTGGGTCGGAAGGATTCTGAGACGGTGGTGGCCGATTGCGTGGTTGAACAGGCGATGAGGACACCCTTAAAAAAAGATAATAGCTTTTAATCCATACCACCTCAAGAAGTGTCTCATTTTTAGCATATAATGATTATCCAAAAATAGCGGAAGGCGCTTGTCTGCCATAATTTTGTTATTGATGAGAAAGAACTTTTGAAGTAGTGCCAGGAATCAAAGAAATGTCGTAAACAGGGTAAATGAGAAAAATTTACCTTATTGGAGGAGGCGCAAAAACATTGTGGGGCAAAGAGCAAGGTTGCCAAGCCTCAGGTGGTACGCTAGGCCTTATAGGTGATGGCACTGCAGTTGGAATCCTCGCAAACCCCAAAGGATGTACCGTATAGGCTGCAGGAGGTGGACCTGAAAAAATAATTGAACGTAACAGCGTAGCTTTTTTAAATGATGACTCCTCCACTACCGTTTCAACAAATATATAAAAGAAGGAAAACAGATTAAAAAAAAAAGTCAAAATTTATTTGGTTCCCTTGAATAGTATCATTTCAATAAAGAAAAGTACTAAAAACTATTCCACATCCTTATGTTGTAAAAATTTGATAAACACATACAAAAAAGAAAAGACAAAATAATCTGAGATATGAAACTAATTACCTGGATAAGGAATTTTCTCTGGAAGAAACCCACCAAGCGCGTTTGGAAATGGCGGTGGTGCAGTCATCGCCTGCGAAGGATTCACAATAGGAATGTAATGAGACATTGGTGTAGCCGCTGCAAGCTGAGCCATTTGCTGCATTACCACCGAAGGATTTTCCATAGGCCCAGTTACTTTCGAAGGAACACTAAACAAAGTAAAACGCAAATAAAATTTTTACACAAACTCATCAAACGAAATCAACTTCAACTCCAATTGCTCCTTAATCCAAAGTACGTTTTCTAACCAGCCTCAGAAATTCAGTCAATAAAGAAATATGCTATTTTTCTTCCATTTATTTCGTCTTTCCGAAATTCCAATCAAGGATCACAACTTTTTGAAACAACTAAAAAGGCTACAGAAACGGTCAATAAAAACTTTCGACCATGACCAACTTTAACACGACCATAACTGATACGTACAAATCATTTGCACTAGACCGTAAAATCTATTTCAGAAGCAATGGGAGATATATTAAAAACCATGAAGAAAATATTCTCAAAAATGTCAAAGTCTGGAAGAAAACATATTTGCCACTAGAGCACCATTCTAGAACAAAACTAGGGTTGATAAAAGTTTACCTCGCAAGCAAACTGCTGTTAGAAAGCCTTTTAAAAGAAGAATGAACTCACGAGTAATGGAGCTGCGCAGGTGGTGTTTCTAAAACAGGTCTGCTAGTCGATGGAAAATCAGTATCCACTTCTCTTTTAAACGGTACGAAAGAACTCTGAAAGACAACTAAGAATCAACTGCAAAAACATGAAATCCATCAGGTACTGGCAATTTATATAATCAGATTCCTAAAAAATTTGACCGTTCGAAAGGTCTTACCTGGGGTTTTCTTCCTGTTGCATTTTTGACAGCTGGCAACTCAGCTGCCGGTCCTGGAGGACTCTTAAGTCCTTTATTTTCACACTCTTGCTGAATAAATGGCTGCTAAAAAGAAGCATTATAATCAAAGCATTTAAATCCTCCAAAAAATTTCCCCGCAAAGAAAAATTAGCATGACACCGTCTACAATAATATATCTGAAACAGCGAAACAAATGTACTGTATTAGCTGCTTACTTGTTTCTGACTAACATCTTTCTCTGTTGTGCTCGAACCTTCTTTTTCTTCATCATGCTCCTCAATCTTTTTTTCTTCAACAGTTTTTTTGGAGCTACCTTAAAATAAATATTAGTGGTCAAGAACAATCATATATGTATACACTTATGTATAAATATACGAAGTAAAAAAATTAAGTTCAATGAGTAGTTCAAAAAACTGCACAGCGAACAACTCAAACAAATACGCTAAACTAAAAAAAAAAGTGGCTCCAAAAAATTGTCAAATTTTTAAAGATAAGCAACTGGTATTCGACAACTGGTATTACTTGCAACATCATCCTTCTCATCATTTTTCGCCTGAATTTTTTTCTCAGCTTCCTCTGTAGTGTTGCTTTTTACCCCAGAATCATGTTCTTCCTCTTCCTCTTCCTCACCATCATTATCGTCATCGTCATCTTCTTCCTCTTCTTCTTCATCCTCTTCGTCCTCCTCCTCCTCCTCTTCATCCTCGTCAGGTGAAAAAGCTTCATCAGAACTACAATAAAACATTATAAGAATAAGCAATAGTGTGCAATAATAATGCAGAACAACGCGCGAAATGTCACTGCCACAGAAAGAATAGTTTTCACACACTTTCGCTTTTTACGGTTTGATTGGGAGGTATGTGACTCCTGTTCGCTATCTTCTTCGTCCTCTTCTTCACTTTCTTCTTTCTGAATCATCTTCTTCTTGTAAACAGCTTTTCGAAGAGGTCTGCAAAAGAAATATGAGCTATTGATTGTTGGAGCTATTGTTAAAAAATTAAAAAGTCATCCTCATGTAGAACCAATATCAAAAAAAAAAAATCTGGAAGACAAGGTATAAGGTAGCCAGAAGACAGAAGCAATAGATTAAAGCAAACTGACCGGTGCCTGGAAGAATAAGAAGCAGAGGAAAGAAACAGCTCAAAACAACTGTAAGTAAAACACAAACCTCCCAGTATTACTCTTCATATTATATTCAGAACCTTCATCAGAGCTGCTTGCAGGAGGTGCCCACTTGTTACCTACAGAAGATCTACGTTTCTTCTTTCCTGCTGCACTATCGTCACTTGAACAATAGTAGGATTCTTCAGATGTGGAATCATCATCAGAAGAAACTCTAAAGTAAAAAGGAAAAAAGACTGACATCCTTGCAGAAAAAAACACCAACCAGGAAAGTAAAACAAAATTAGAAACCTTCTTCCACGTCTGCCTTTTCTTGTTCTTGTAGACCTCTCAGAAAACCTTGCTCTCCGAGACCTTTTTGCAGAAGGAGAATAATCACTCTCGGAACCAGAAACTACAAAATCGTCGTCACTTCTGCGCCGACGATTACTTCTAAAATACTGGTAGTAAAACGTTACAAAAAAAATTAAAGAAAGAAAGGGAAAATCCATATAATTAAGGAATCTTAGCAGGTCAATCCGAGATACCTGCGTCTGGGAGCTTCATCTGAGGGGACATACTCATCGAAATCATCAGAAGGAACGTCTGATGCTTCTGACCCATCTCTAAAATAACAGTTAGGTTAAAACAGAAACCCTACACCTTTTAACTTGCAGCAATTCAAAGTAAATGCATTAATACCAAAAAATAAAAACATTTGCAGATTTAAGCAAGATGTCACAGAACAAAGAAAGCGAAGAACTCACTCGCTAGCTTTATATTCGTCGGACTCAGATTCTGTCATTTCGTCAACGTCCAAATCATTTAACCGATGATGGCTTTTCGGAGTCTTTCGAGTGCACGATTTTCGTAATCTACAAAAACAGGAAAACAAATAACAAATCTACCAGTGTTGACTTCTATGAACCACAGAATAAAACACAAGTAACAAAAGCGAGAAATAGAAGTTAAAAAATGATTTTCTACAACAGTCAAGTAAAAAACAATGTAAGGACCGATAAACCTCTCTTCCCCAGCAGAAGTATCAACACTTGACTGCCGTTTCTGTTCTGCATTAAGAATATTAGACATATCCTTGCCACGGCCAGCTCCTCCTTGAGGACGAATGGGATCTAAAAAGACCATACCAAAAGTTAAATTTCAAGAGCAAGTATATCTTAAAGATAGAAAGGTTAGCCTAGCAAAGAACTTTTTTTTAACTACATCTCCTTTGAAAATTGCACATACACAGATCTGCCCTCTGTCCTAACATCTTAATAAACCAGTCAATAAACCAATGTTGGCGAGGAATATTCAGAAAAAAATAAAAAAAAAACAACTCAGGAAGATAAAATGCATCAGAGAGAACCACTGTTGTGAAAAAGTCAAATAATATGCTTAACTTGGCCGACAACAACATCAAAACTTAATCATAATATATGTATCTTATTTCTTGGAGGTTCCTAAATGATTGTAAAAAAAGGTAAAGAACCCAGTATTTGACTCAATAGTCCTTGATAGTCTTTGGGCAAAACTCAATCTCGTCCCAAACACATTTAAAGAGGAACCAAATTCTAAGACGCATAAAAATTCTAAAATACGAAGGGAAAGTATCAAGTACGCAGAAGAGACCTCAGTGGAATTCAAATGCATCTACTAAAGTACAAGCAAATAAACATTCATGAGAGATACTAGTACAGTCCAACATTAATTACATTTTAAAAACTAAGTCACACAAAAAGAATTTTTTAAAACGTGCTAGACGTCTCAGTTAGCTTCATTATATAAAATGACCAAAGAAAGACGAATCAATTCTAAAAAAGCAACACCTTTACTCATTTTCTGTTTTGTTGCAGACGCATCAATGTTCTCCATCGCTTCCTAAATTTGAATGACATTAAAGAAAAAGATTACCAGCTACCAATGACTAAATTGGTAAGGAAGATTTTGTTAAAAAATGTTTACCCTGATAAGTTCATCGTAAGCTCCAAAGTTGTAATCCACTTTTGCAACATGACGCCTGGATCTGCCTAATGCAATTGGAATAATTGGTCTTTCAGGACGTACTCCTAACCTCCTGAAGTCAATAGTAACAGACAGAAAAGTTATTTCACTTTTCAAATCTTTACAGTATATCAGAAACATAGTGACATTTTCTACCTAATTGCTCTTTTCTTTGACTTCCTTTCCCCATCGTCAGTATCTGTTGATTCTTCAGACACGTCTGAATTGTCCTCGGTTTTTGGGCTTGACTAAAACTATCTTCGTGCATGAGGAAGAAAAAAATAAATTTTACGTATGCGGGAAAATCAAGAATCAGGAATGATTCAGTTTTGACGTACTCACGAGACACACATTAAATTAAGAATTGCTAAAAAATGGTAGGAAAGTAACTGAAATAAAAATCGGTAGATAGTTATTGAATCCAAAAGAAAGCACATTATTTCAAATTTGGAAGCTTGCGTGGAAGAAGCAAGGTTGGAGAAGAACTGCCCTCTGATTCGCTAAGATGCAATAAAATTTTTGTGTAAACTCGATTTACTTGCGCTTAAAAATTAGACTTTCTAAGAAAAGAAAATCTTGTGTTTGATGGTTTTCGAATATACTTACAAAGCAAAACATGGGACTAATATAATAAAAAAAAATTTCAAGATGTGACTAATATAATCAAAAAAAAATTTTCCTCTACATCTAAGTGGCAAGAGATAATCGATAAAAGCGTTGAACGAAAATGCATGCCAAAAAAGCGACCAGGAAATCTGCTTTAAAGTCCTACCATACAGCAAAATCTTCGAAAAAGCAACAGTCCTTTAAAGAACAAAGTACGTTAAGTCCAATATAACATACAAGTGAGAGAAAAACATTATAATTAAACAAAGTAAAGCCGAAGCAATATTCGAATCAGAATAACCAACTTTGCGAACCACTGCAGTAAAAAACGCTAAGTTATTACAGTTGTGTATTACAATTTAAAGTACTTACATTTAGTGGAATGATGTTATTCACTGATATACCAATATAATCCATCTCACGTTTCAGCCTCTCAGCTGCTGCCTCCTTCCTGTAATCAAACTTAATGAACACGACTGTAGTAAAAAAATAGTCAACAGAATGAAAGCGTTTAAATAAATCTAAGCAAACAATTTACTAGTCTGAAAAACAGTCTTATCGGAACAGAAAAATTACTTGGCTAACCACAAAAAAAAAAAAAAAGATCAGTTACCTTTTATCTTCAGCAATCTTCTGTTTCAACTGCTCGCTTAATGTTGCAACAATAGAAGCAAATTTGTCTATAAGCATCAAATGATGACACCTAGGGCAAAACCAGTCTCCATTAGGAACATACCATAGCATGGGATGAAGACACCACGTATGCCAAGCATCATCGCACATGTCACATAATAATAACTTCAAAAACAAAATTCTTATCCTCTCAAAAAAACGCAGAAAACAGATTTGGCCAAACAACTAAATCTTCTTCAACAAGGTGACAGGCCTTCACAAGAGAAATTAACAGAGAAATGTCACATACTGTACTCATGAAAACTCTAAAACCAATAACATTGAATCATGTTTTCCCAAAGCTACAAAAAGTTGGGTTTCATTACAACTCTAAACTTTTTAAAGCAGAAAAAAATAGACATTGAAACTGAACTCCGTCAATAACTATTAAAAGAAAAAACAAACACAAACCACTTCAGGATTACTGCTTTTTTGACAGTTTTTACATAAAGTTTCAACAGTTGCTTGCTTCCGCTCCTTTTTGATTTCCTCTTCACTGTCGTCATCTTCTTCCTGCTCATAGTCTTCCATTTCATAAACATCATGATCACCTTTTTTTCCTTTGCCCTTTCGGTTACTGTAAAAGTAAGGTTGGCAGAAATAATCACTCCTACTCCATTATAAAAAGTGAGCGAAAGAAAACTACCAAAGAATTAACTGCAAAAGCTGCAGAGAAAAAAAGAGAGAGACAAAACAACTAAACAGTTGCAAGAGTATCGTACCGCTTCCCCCTCTTCTTAATTTCAGACAAAGGCATAAAGTCATCATCAGAAGATGGTTCATCACTATCCTCATCATCTTCAAAAAGTGTGTAGTCTTCACCCGCATCATCCGGCTCATCACCATCACAACCCTGTAAGATTTTTAGGTTTCATAACTCAAATTTTATCGTGAGTACCGTTGTATAAACAACCGATCAAACAAAGCAAATGATTTTCTCAAGGAATAAAATCTTACCGAGGCGTTGTTTTCTCGAACAGGAGAACACTCTTCACTTTTAGTTGGCTTGACATTTCTCGATGAACGGCCTTTTTTCTTCCCACTTTCTTTGTTCGCCACCTTTTTTGTTGGTGAGGTTAATTCCTTTAAATGGTTAATCGCAGCATTCTTAGCACTTCGACGGGGTAAAACGCGCCTATCAGTCTGGAAGTGAAACATATGAGTTTTAAAAAAAGAGCAAGACTGCATAAAAACAATCTTCTGCAACAAGAATTTCAAATAACCGCAAAATTACTCCCACTACTCATCTGATTTCCGTTTAAGAAAGCAACCCACGTAAATCCAAAAAAAACTAGTATATGTCGGACATGAAAGAAGAAAGGTTTTACAGGTCTCACTATCATTTTTAAATTACCAAATCCATTTAGTTCTGAAAAAATGCATGCGAAACTCCTCTATTGAACAATCCATTATGGAGGAAATACACTGTCAAAAATTATACAAAATATGACATGAAGAAGACTTCTGAAAGAATCTTTCCGAATCAAGAACTACAAAAATTTCTCATTGATTATATTTGAGTTAAATATTAGAGAACGAACAAGATCTTCAATAGCATTTTCCAGTTCCTCAACAGATTCAGCCACCTCTTTTTCCCCTTTCTCCACAGAAAAATTTTTTTTTCTATTTTTCTCTGCCTTCTCTTCCTTGTGATTAACCTAAAATAAATATGTAATATACAGCTGTAGAAGCTGATAAAATGCAAATAAAAATTTTTAAAAAACATAATCCAGAAAACTTTAGAAGCAAACAGACTTTTGCTAGAAGAAAATCTTCCTTGAAAAGGTCAAGAATATCTCCTTTTCTCGTTCCAACTTCAAAACCATACGGGCCTTTGTTAACTTTCTCATCCTCAGCTTTTCGAAGAACTGAAAAATTATAAAATTAATAAACCAAATAACCTTTCTTTATCTTTATTTATCGTCTTCCACAAAAAACAGCCAATCTGACCAAAAGCTGCGATGGCCAAAACAAGTCAAAAATAATAGCGTAAAATATTAAAGCACTCAAGCCGTAAAAGCTCAGTAAAGTATTCAGTATTGAAAAAAAGTTTACATCTACTGAGTTGTACGTAATGCCCTGCCCTTTCCAAATGATAAGCAATATCTCATTAAAAACTAAGTTAACTCAAAAAGCAAAACAACCAACGATTAACATTTACATTAAAAAATAGGAAAATACCTTCACTCCTCGGAGTAAATTTTGAAATGTCTTTCTCCTTACAAAACGCTTTAAGCTTATCCAAAAGTGTTTCCAGTTCTTCCTTTGACCTTAAAAATACCCAATTAGAAAAAATATGATGCATGCAAACAGAGGAAATTCATAATGTCCCTTTTGCCGGAGGGAAGTGGTCAAACATATCAATTTCAAGTTTACACTTTAAATTATCCAATTTTACAAGAACTTAATCAAGCAGCCAACCTTCATTGCCGTTAAATTTTGCTTACTCGATCAAGACTTTTGTGAAATAACTTACTTAGCTACAAGAGACCATGAATTCCCTGAGTGGTCGTCTGGCTCCTCAGTATAAACTCGAATATTTAAATATGAGTCTTGCTGATACCAATAAGCTAAGCCGTGATAATCACTTCCGACTGGTAATAATCGAAAGTTAGCGGCTCCACGAATTGATGAAACCTGATAAAGCAGTAATACAAGCAGTGAGTAAGATTAAATGCAGTAAGAAATCATAAAAAGGCATGTAACTGCAGTGAGATAAATTCTTCTAGCAGACGATAAATGTTAAGAACAATTTTTTTCAGTAGGAAAAACATAAAAGATAATAAACAGTAAACTAACTGTTTCTTTGAATTTAAGATTAAAATCAAATTGAGCTTCACATAACGCCTTCAGTACAGCAAGTTTCGTGGCCGGGGGAGTATTCAGGTAGCCAAACCTTTCTAACTGGAGAAATTCACTTCCCAGACTTGCAGTAAGTGAACAAAACTTAAGTAAAAACTTTTCCCAAACTGGTGCTCGTGCTGATTTGAAATTTAGTTTCCGAAGTAAAGTCAAATGAAGATCAATAAGATCGCGATCAACTGAAAATAAAATTATCTCTTCAAAAAAAAAAAAAAAAAAAAAAAAAAAAAAAA